AAAACCAAGGTTTACATCGTGACCTTAAAAACCTATAAAAAACAAAGATAAAATATTCGACTTATTATATAAAAATGTTTTGGACGCCAAAGCCAATCACCTTACAGAAGCGGATTAAGATAAAGAGAGAATGCGCAAGCCAAAACCGCATTCAAGCAAAATGTGGCGGAGAGACGTGAAAATAATAAGAAAGCTTAAACAAGAAATCAAGAAAAAACCTAGAAGGTAATATAAAAGGGATTCGTAAAGGCAAACCCTCAAGACCTGAAAAAAATTTAGCGGGATCCTATGTATTTGGAGGGCAAAAGCCAATTATTTCCCTACGAGGAGCGTATTAGAAATTGGGATAAATGTGCGAGACTTAACCGTATACAAGCAAGGTTGGCGACAGAGATTTTAAAACAAAAAAATTTCCCCCAAAGACCCCTTGTTGAAATTAAAAATCAAATGAAAAAAAAGAAAGCGAACGAATTCTCCCAAACATTAATAACACTCTTAGGTTAATTTTCCCGCGAGGCAGGACAATTGAAAAATTCTCCCGGGGAAGCTGCCGGAAAAAGATGGAAGGCCATGACTCGGTCCGCAAGACGAAGTTGATGACTAAGATGGTCGCAAGACGGGGGTTTAGGACAATGAATTATCTGGGGAAAAGAGGGTCTGGGGGCACGAGGATGAGGCCTGAGCAGGTCTGGGAGACATAGGATAAAGACCGACAGGTCTGTGAACATAGGGGAAGACCCTGAGCGGGTTGGGACACAAAGGGTAAGGGCCCCGAGCAGGCTGGGAACAGAGGGTGGGACCATGAGCGGTTGGGACACAGAGGATGAGGACCTGACAGGTTGGGACCACAGGGTGAGGGGCCAGAGCAGATCTGGGAGAAGAGGGTGAGGACCCTGAAAAGTCTGGGACACAGATGGTGAGGACGATGAGGTCTTGGAGACAAAGGGGGAGGGGCCAGATAGGTCTGGGGCACAAGGGGGAGGACCCATGAGCATTTTTGGGAGACAGAGGGTGAACCATGAGCAGTTGGGGACAAGATGGTGAGGACATGAGAGGGGGAGAAAAGTGTGAGGACCATGACAGGGGTTTGGGCACGAGGGTAGGACCTAGAGGGGCTGGGGGACGAGGGGGAGGACCTGAGCAGGGCTGGGGCACAGAGGATGAGGGCCCCTGGCAGGGCTGGGACACCGGGGGAGGACCATGAGCAGATCGGGGGACAGAGGGTGAGGACCATGAAAAGTCTGGGACCAGATGGTAGGACGTGGAGGGCTTGGGACAAAGGGTGAGGACCATGAGTAGGTCTGGGACACAGAGGGTGAGGACCATGAGCAGGTCTGGGAGACAGAGGGTGAGGACCATGAGCACGTCTGGGACACAGATGGTGAGGACGATGAGCAGGTCTGGGAGACAAAGTGTGAGGACCATGAGCAGGTTTGGGACACAGAGGGTGAGGACCATGAGCAGGTCTGGGAGACAGAGGGTGAGGACCATGAGCAGGTCTGGGACACAAAGTGTGAGTACCACGAGCGTGTCTTTAAGGAAGAAGCAGTAGACCCTGATTAGGTCTGCAAGTTACAGGCAGTGGACCATCAATAGGTCGGCAATAGAGAGGTAGTAGACTATAAGTTGGCCCTAGATCCATAGACAGTAGACCCTTCCCACTCCACTTTGAAGGAGGATAACGTCACAACCTGCTCCTCCACCGTAAAGAGTGAGGCTACTCCTCTGCCCTCATCTGAGGTGGAAGACGAGAGCATTCAGCCCTCAGAGTGGCACTATTCTGAGTGGTCAGTTCAACACTTTGAGGGGCACGTCAATGTGATCTGCCTGTCCAGACGACACCACCAGCCAGCCAACAACCCCAGGGTACCACCCCAGTCCCACAGTGACCCAGCCCTCTATGTCAGTGATGCAGTCAAAATTGTGGTAAACACAAGCCGAGCACCTGAGATCTGTACGAACTAGTCTGATTTGAACACCGATCTCCCGACTAATGTTCCCACGTAGGTCGCCACCGATCTCCTGGCTGACGCTCCCTCCGAGGTCACCATCGATTTCCTGGCTGACGTTCCCACCGAGGTCGCCACCGATCTCCTGGCTGACGTTCCCTCCGAGGTCGCCACCGATCTCCTGGCTGACGTTCCCACCGAGGTCGCCACCGATCTCCCTGCTCACCTTTCAACCGAGGACGACACCGCACTGGATTCCTGGGAGGTGTGAACTGCCCACTGATTATCTTATGGTAGAACTGGAGGATTTTTGTTAATCTTAGATCAGATGTTCTGCATCTCGCAGCAGTGTTCACTTAACTTTGCTGAGTGTTTCACTCAAGAACAAAGACCCTCACTGGAAATAGTGCAGATCAATTAGACTTAGTTCTTAACCAAGATTTCTATTATGAATTGAATCATTTTTATATCATAAACAGTTTATACTGTCAATATAAACTATGTTTATATTATTACAAAGTTTTGCCTTAAAAGTTATACATTCTTTAGAGTTTTGGTGTATTTTGTTTTCTGTCCAGTAATACCGGAACTTTCATTGGTATCTCCAGTTGTATTTGACTAATATTAATAACTTCATACATATAGTGGTTGAGTGTGTTCTTGCCTGTGGTTGAGTGTGTTCTTGCCTGTGGTTGAGTGTGATCTTGGTGTGGTTGAGTGTGATCTTGATGTGGTTGAGTGTGATCTTGGTGTGGTTGAGTGTGATCATGCTTGGGGTGAGTTTTATCCAGTGTTCGAGTAGGTCCGTGAAGACGTGTTTCTTGGGATACTAATGTCTCCTGCGAGGCAGAGTTGTCAAACCTCGTAGCAGTAACATTACAATATGTTCGCATTTTTTCGCGACGGGGGGGGGGAGATACACTGTTTTCACCACTACTACGCTGTCATCTTCACTACACAGTCACCTACACGACACAGTCGTCTTCACTATGTCATCTTCACTACACTGCCATCTTCACTACACTGTCACCTCGACTTCAGTGTCATTTTCACTACACTGTCATCTTCACTACACTGTCATCATCACTACAATGTCATCACTACACTGTCATCTTCACTTCAATGTCATCTTCACTATATTGTCATCTTCACTACACTGTCATCTTCACTACACTGTCATCCTCACTACACTGTCATCTTCACTACACTAATAACTTCACAACTTTGTTATCACTAATCACTACTGTTATCACTGCTGTAATCATTAAACTGTTATGATCCCTGTTGTTATCGTCGCTACTGCACTGTTATCACTACTACACTATTATCGCACTATATTATCACAGCGACTTCACTATCACCCCTACAGAGCTGTTATTACACTGATATCCCTAATACACTATTATCATCACACGGTTACCACTTCACTGTCGTCACAACTACCTCACTGTTATCACCAATTGTTCACTGTTATCGCAATTATCATCAAAACTACAATATTATAAGCACTGTTACTCTGATATCATCACTGTTACTCTGATATCATCACTATTACTCTGATATCATCACTATTACTCTGATATCATCACTATTACTCTGATATCATCACTATTACTCTGATATCATCACTATTACTCTGATATCATCACTATTACTCTGAAATCATCACTATTACTCTGATATCATCACTATTACTCTGATATCATCACTATTACTCTGATATCATCACCGCTATAATATTATTAGTTTTCAACACGAAGGCCACTTGCAAATTTTCCAAGGTAACTATGCAACTCAAGGCAGCAAAAATACCTTCCAAGGCTTTATATTAATGAATATCTAACTAACAAGGTTTTACATTGACTTTAAAACCCAAAATATCAAAATAAAATATTCGACATTATT